ATGCTGGCGCCAGAGAACGCAGTGAAGTCGTCCGGAGAGTAGTAGTAACACAGTACTCCTACCGGTGTAATAGTGTTCTGTGGTAGTCGTCGGCTCGTCGGACAGCCTTCGTGACGCCACAACGCTTGCATACAGTTTCGCACGTTTCACTGTCCTCGTCTTATCCGGACTCTTGAAATCGACCACGTATAGACCGAAGCGGGACCTGCAAAATGCATTTACAATATCATGACGTGTAAAATTATATCACAGATTTGACTGACTAAATGTTTTATTTATTCCCGTTCCCGCTATTTAGAAACAAAGAATGTGACTGTGACACAAGTTTTTAAAATATATACACACACACACATACATATATATATATATATATATATATATATATATATATATATATATATATATATATATATAACAATAAGTGACAGTATAAAGAACAAAGGTAGCTGCGGGTCCTAAACTAAGGGCAGCTTGTATCTCAGGACCCTGGCATGCGATACAAAACGGTTTGTCACTGGACCTCTGGACTCTGGACCGCTGGACCTCATTTACATCGAGATAGTGTTCTTACGTGCTTGTCATCGGCCTTTAAATGTAATGCTTCTAATACAAAAACTAAGGTATATATATACTATATATATATATATATATATATATATATATATATATATATATATATATATATATATATATATGTATGTATATATATATATATATATATGTATATATATGTATATATATATATAAAATATGATTTCGAGCACTTCTGTTTATTAAAAGTTAACAAACGGTATAGAAATTATCATGTTGATTTTGTATTTTAAACTTCACTAGTTTATCGCTTTACTTAAGTAGTCCAAAGTGATAAGTTACTAGAACCTTTTAGCGTTATCAGTTATCAGTGTCTTCCGCTACTTTTATCTCTTATCGTAGATATTTTGAATGCTTAATTTACAGTTCAAGAAATATAAACAATACAGATAATAATTTGTTTTGGAAATTTTTATGACTTACCTAAACCACTTTTTTATGGTGCAATATAAAAGTAAATTAAATTTAACTTGTAAACAGTAATATATCAAACACTTTTAGATATTAAAAGGATTTAAAATAAAACTTATCTTACAAACATTTACATACCCATTTTAAGGAATTAGTAGCTTCGTGATAGTTAGTTGATAAGATACTATTTGACATACAGGCAGTCAAAAACTTCTAATCATGGGTAGGCTATCTTGCATATTATTGTTTGCAATTATTTTAATAAAAATCCTATTTACGGACGGTGGCGGAAAATACTCCACCTTATTTCATTATGTAGGTTTCGTAAAAAGTGACTAAAAAAGATCAGTTCAGCGAGCTTCCAAACCAGCCAAAACCAAAACTGAAATCTGCATCATTTAGAGCAAAGGGGAGGAAATCAATGAAGAATGAACTTTTGCACTATTTTAATTTTGATTGTAAAATCTAGACCCAAACTTATAAAAAAGAAAACCTTAATAGCAGAGAGAATGGTTCAGGTAGGAGGAAAAAAGTTAATAGTTGTAGCATGATTAGTGCAGTACCACACTCACAGAATACCAGTGTAAAATAGCAGCGTAACTCTGCTGTGTTTCGTATGATAGGTGTAGACAACCGGCGACCCTTTTTATTGGAATTTAGGCATTCTATATTAGTCCTCAGGGGTGACAACGCATTTGCATTATGATTCTTAATTGAAGATAAATATGGATATCTACGGGCCACATCATCAGGTAGAATGTATGCTCGTTTGTCACACAATGCTATAAAAAACCGAGAAGAATTTGTAAAAATCTGAACTTGAGGGTCTCTAAACGCAATAAATTAATGTCAACAAACAATTAATATACACGAACCGTTTTTGTGGTTTGATAATATATTGATACGACTGGAATAGGATCAGAATGTAAAGAGTATATATTCTGAGTCGGCCGATTGACTTAAATCCGGTTGATCAGCCCGAACATTTATTGATTAACCTTTTGAGCGCCACGCCAAAAACTCACTACCGTGTCCTGTACGCCAAAGCGAAAAGTAAACAAAAATACCTACGAAAAAAACAGTGCTGCCAAGAGTTGATATATCGATAACACAAAATAACTTGTTTTTGTTGGTTTTTTATACAATAAATGAGTCTTTATAATCGGGTATGTTTTATTTAATCTTGTGCTGTCTTCCACTCTTTTTATATATGTACTTTGTACATAAATAAAAAACAAACAATAACAATAAAGTAGTAGTAAACCACAACACTACTCTCCGTCGTGATGACGTCACTGTCACGACTGGACGACAACGGCGTAGCTGACCTTTCTTTTTGAAACTTTCTTAGAGATGTAGCCGTGTCGCACGTTGTGTATCGATTTCAAAATCGATGTAACCAAAATATACAGACATCTATTCAAAATATTTTATGGCAAGGCGTAGGCCAAGTGAATCACAGAAGAAAAGTCTTACGCTCTTATGATAAAGGGGGTTTCATATGATACTGATGTTGCTAAATGATTTTGAGATTGAGAAAGAAAATCGCACAACACAAAATGAAAATTGCTCTTCATACCTTAAGTAAAGAAAACACATTTATTATTTGTAATTTTATATTATTAAAATAGAAAAGGTACGTAATTATTCACTAATCAACAACTGTATATAGGTAATTATTCGCACTAGAAAAATCAGTCTTATAATATTAAAATCTTGGTCATGGAATAAAAAAATCAGTACTTATTACAGAAATCAACAAAGGGTACATAATTATTCAACAATTGTGAATAATTATTTGCACTAGGTCTAGTCATAAAATATTAAAATCTTGGTCTTTAACTCAATCAGTACTTAAATAGAAAACAACAATTAAAAATAATTAATAAATTATAGGTAATATTAGTCTTAAAATAATAAAAATCTTATGGAATAATAAAACATAAATGTTTAGCTGGCCAAAGCAAATTTTCTAACGTGGTAGAGCCATGCTGCAGTTATATTACGGGAGTTAGTAGTTGTAGCACGAATGGGTCGGCTCAACCGGGGAAGAAACGCTCTCACGGAATATGGGCATCAAATAGTAGCTTAATGCTGCTGTGTTTCGTATGGTAAGTGTAGAGAACCGGAGACCCTCTTTACTGGAAACGAGGCATTCCATCTAAGTCCTCACGGGTGAGAGCGCATCTGCATTTTGATTCGTAATCGAGGATATATGTAAATGTCTATGGGCCACAGCAACCACTTGCCATCAGGTGGACTGTGTGCTCGTTTATTACCCTATGCTATAAAAAAAGAAATTAACCGTAAAAAGACTATAAAGTGTATTCCTACCTCATTGAGGTAGAGTTAATCGAAAACGAAAAACTTTGGTTTCACGATAATTTTAAATTTCCGAAAATTCATCATCGTCGACGCTTTCCAAAATCCGAATGAGTTCTGAGGAATCGTTCATGTTGCACTGCACTAATTTTCCCGCTAATCGCTTATGACGTCATCAGTGTGTCGTCTATACTTGACCACGGCGCCCAGTGAACTGATTTTCGATGTCGCGCTAAGGATGCGCCAGAGTTGAGATATTAGATTTATTATGCGAAGATAATTTGTTATTTTTTTTTAAATTCATGTAGCTAATTATAGTTTTATATTTCTAACCTTTTGTTTTATTTAAATATCAATAATAATAGAAAAAAATAACACGTTTGAGCTTAATTTTGAATAGTTTTAAATAAATTTATGGCTAACGCATTACAACACTAGCGGTCTAACATAGACGACTTTGGCGTGCTGGACATAGTATTTGCTTAGATAAAAATCCATTTTTTTTAGTTCAATGTTTCTTAGTACTTGTGGCTCTAGAAGACTTGTTTTTTATACTCACATGTTGCTGGGTTATTCTTTTTTTGAGGGGTGTAGAATTAAAATACGAGTAATAATTTTCCAATGTCTATATTTCAAATTTTTGTGGGCTGGGGTTTTTGTCATCTATAGACGTCGTTGGCGCTCAGGGCACGCGGGTGCTGGTCACGTATAGACGACTTTGGCGCTCAAAAGGTTAATGTTCGATGTGGGAACTGACCACACGGTCACCCGGTGATAGATTATACAAGATAGGGGATTAGAATTGGCAGTACCGTACAGTACAGTTGTTGTTGAAAATGTTAAATCAGAAGCAGCAATTGACTATGGGAGCTTGAAATGTGAATTGGCTACCACAGTACCAGTCTTACACTTTTAAGACTTCTCCCCATCGCCGATTTGAAGATTTTATTCAATATAGAATATGAATAATACTTATTAAATGTCGACTTATATTTAAATTTTTTTATAGAATAAGTCTACTTGAACGTAAGTGGGGGCTGTGACCCATAGACATCTACATTTATCCTCGATTAAGAATCAAAATGCAGATGCACCGTCACCCCTGAGGACTAAGATGAAATACCTCGTTTCCAGTAAAACAGGGTCTCCGGTTCTCTACACTCATTATACAAAACACAACAGCCTTAGATGTTATTTTACACTGGTGCTCTGTGAGAGCGTCGTCCTACACCGGTTGTGACGTCCCATTCGTGCTACAACTAATATACTGCCGCCATAAGGAAAAAAGACGTATCTAACATTTTTTTCGAAATGGAGTTACATAAATGTTCTAAATCAGTAAAAAAAATGGCATCCACCAGTATTTTTATATTTCGCATAAATTAAGCGGAACCCTATAAATCTTACTGTTAAATAAGACGCATCTACGATATGAATCAAATATTACTAAATAGAAAAGACTAAATAGAAAGTTTCTGAATTCCACTAAGTTGAAAAAACGCATTTTAGTAGTAGCGTCTTATTTATTTACAAAATATTTAATTCATCATAAAATGAAAAGACACTTCTGCATGGTCATAAGAAGAAAAGACTGTTCTGTGTAGATGTGCCTTTTTAGCGTAGTATTACGAAAAATGGGCAGGCGCAAGTGGCAGTAGTGCCTTTCCTACTTAGTATTGCTAGTTGTGCGGGGTGAAGTGGGGCTCGCGGTTGGTATACTGTGCTTCAGTTGCGTCCAGGCAGACAGAGTGACAACATGCGCGCGCGGCTCTTCGAGCTATAACTACGGAAAAATCGTAAGTCAAACTTCCTGGAATTATAATTTATTAAGCATACCCATGAGTAATTTAAGATTGAAAAAACTGCAAACCTAACAGGTGACACAAATAAATATACCTACTTTTATGTTAAAATATTTCAATATTAAATATATCTGTTAGAAAACAACACCTTAATCTAGCTAAACGCTTTTTTTCGAATTTGTTTACACCGTTGAGTACCAACTATCACAATGAAGAGGTTTGCATTTCGAGGGTTTACTGCAAAAACCAGCTAAGTTCAGCGAAGTTAGTTTTGAGTTAAAGAGTTCTAAAAGTTTACACCTAATTTAATCACTAAAATTTTGGTAGGTCTTACATACATTAGTAATCATATGTTAGAATATTTATATAAGATTATGTTTATGTGAAGTCTGAATAAATATGTGTGACAGAAATCTTGAAATAAGGATTTTTTCAAGTAAAGGCGTGCAGTTAGTCGGTTTTACATGTCAATTGCTAAAATGCAGTTTTACCGAGATAATTGATGTTTTATATGGTTTGTGATTAATGATGGGTAGCTGATAATAAATAACTACGTTTTAAATACTGATACAATCATAAAAGAAATAATTTATTGTGTAAGCTATGAAAGAAAAAAGTTAGTTGGTTTTATCTGTAAATGTTTTTTAACTTTTAGGATAAAAGTGTTGTAAAATAAGAGGTTAAATTCACAATATTATTTTTATTGACTAATAAAAATTATAATAGAATCAGTTTGAAAGTGGAGAAGAAGAGTGTGGAGTGTAACTACTATAGTATTTTCATTAAATTTAACAAATATCTTAATTATTAAGAAATCACTCTTCTTCTCCACTTACAGTTTCATCTACTGCTGGTTCTGGCAATTTATCAATAGCTTGACTGTCAACATTTAAATTTTCAAATCAACCGTGAACTTCCTCTGGTATGATGCCTTTCCTAGATAGATTTAAAAGATCTTTTTTCTTGGCCGCGCTTATTTTAAGTGGCTCTTTATAAAAGCAGTTTAATTGATCTGGAAATCGATAACTTACAGGTAAATCATTTTCAGTAAGTCGTTTCTTCTTCCTTGTTGAATAGTTGTGATTCTGCGCGCCATCTAATTGGAAAGTTGATGGATTGTCTCCAATATCCATTACGTTAAATTCGTCGCTCATGTCATAGTTGAAATAAATTTTTCTGTCCTCCCCCTTTAACATATTTTATCCGCTTTATCTTCAACCATTGAACTTGTTTTCCTTTCTCATCTTTCGTTCTATTTTTCATAATCTCACCTGCAAGGTGCTTCAGGTCAAGGAACTCATCATACTTAAATTCTTTTACATGGTATGGTTCTCTTGTCATTTTCTTACCATCAATTTTAATACTTTGCCTGCGTCTAGCACGTTTGAAAATAGAAATCCATTCCATCATGGAAAAAACAGAGGTATTTTTTTTTTGCAAATTCTATACTACTGTGCATAGAATCTGCTTCCATTTGCGTGTGCCCAGATTCTAAAAACTTTTGTTCTATGACTTTAAGGTGGTCAATTTTTTGGACTGCCCAAAGAAGCAAAGCAGCTACAAATTGGTTTCGGTTTTGGCCACCACAAGTGTCTGAAAATAAGCTAATTTCTGTAACATTATCACAGACACAATTTAAAAGGTAGTGTAATAATATGGTTCCAATTTCAGAACTGCCTTTCCTTCCATTTACCTCTGACCATGTAAAACAAAAGGCATTATTGGGTAGAGCTGCTTCGTAGATTGTGAGGTTTTATACACACAACTTTCTTGAATAATAGAACAGACCTACGTCGCTGGCAGGTATTTGAAGTACTGCTTGCAAATCAAATGTTACAGAGCTAAAATGCTCATCTGTGTTTGATCTAACTTTATCCTTCTCTTTTTCTCGATTGCAAATTTTCTTTCTTTCTTGGTGAGCTAGGTAGTCATCTTCAAGTTCTCTTTTTTTCTCTGTATCTGCTTTAGCATAATTAGTGCATATTAAGCATTGATCTTTCCTGGGCACGAAAAAACTCAGATTATACTCTTTTGAAAATATTCTACGGTATGTTATTTCAGAAGCTGGCTCAGAACCATTTTTAAACACTCATCTTTGTACAATAAATACATCCTTCGAATATTAAGATTTTTATCTAAATACCTACGTTTGGTGTCTTTTCTACTATAATGCGCTTCCATACAAGGAAATGATTCGATGTGTTTTTTTTATTCCTTGGATAATGTCAGGTTTCGTTTTATTAACTGGTTCGTGTGCACCTCTTTGGTCATTTACATCAAAACAGTTCATGTCATTCCGTTTATTGATTGCATCAGTTATTACTGCAGGAGAAATACTTAAAGTATTACAAAAAAATTTCTGACATACCTGTTTTTTTTAAATTTTGTTTAGTAAAGAAACACCTCTTTCTATATTTTTTTTCTGGACGACGTCGATTAGGCACAGAGAGAACTCTTTTTGGCATTTGAATGGTAACATTGGTTAAAATAAAATTCTTTCTGCCCAGAAAATCTAAGTTCCAAAAGAATCTACAAAACTTATCTCTATCAGTAGTATCAAAGACATCAGTACACTTAAATTGACACTTGGAGCAATCTATCTCTTTTGGTACCTTAGCTGGTCTGATGTTAGCTTTGGATTTATAAGGCAAACCATCTGCTCGTCTTTTCTTAACTACATTACGAGCCCAACTGCTTGGGTCTGATTTTCGCCATCTTTTTAACGGTTCAATAAGTAACCAAGCTTTTTTAAAAACCTCATCCAAAATATCTTCAATTATAGCTGTAATTTCGCGATGTTGTTCATAACCTTGGTCAAAAACTTCAATATTGTTCTGTATGTGCTCTACATCAAACTTTTTTAGCATTAAAATATTCTTTGTTTCCTAGTAAATCTGTTACAAGATTGTTGGAATTTTCGTTTTCCAGTTGGTGAGAGAAAATTGGCAGGCGATAAGTTGGGTCGTCAGCATCGGAAACATCTCCAAATAAACTTTCCAATTCTGTTTCAACATTATCATCAGAATCTTCGCCTAAAAGAGACACAAATGCTAAGTTAAGATTCAGATTAAGAGGTCTTAAATTATAAATTTTGCATGTACTTTATTAAGAAAAAGATAGTATTTTTACCTTTTTGGTATTTAGAACAGCATGCCGTAGATTTAATGAGAGTATTGAAGAACGTTTCATTACCCGGACCATCTAAAAATACAGTATAAAGTTTAAGCATTTTGATTAGTATTGGATCTTAATCTTTTTTTAAACGTTTAATTAAACGTTTAATGTTGGCATTTGACTTGTCATTTTTATAAACCTTGACACAAGCCATCCATGTTTATTTGAATACTAGAAAGTATGTAAAAAAGTCGTCTTTATCGATCTCAAACGCGAGTGATAATATAATAGTCTATAGTAGTATGTACTATTATAAATTAAGTACTTAATATTTTACCATGAATTTGTGAATGATGAAAGTCTATAGCATCCGCGTTGTTATAAGATGTAGATTGAATTTCTTGAATATCTACCAGGCCTGCATGTGAACTTTGTTCATTTTCTAAAAAATAAACAACTCTATAAGAAAAAATGAACAGAAATTGTAATAAAACTTCGTTAGAAAACACAACCTCGAAATTTAACTTACCAGAAACCTTTTCACAATTTACGGCCACTAAAGATACTAGTTTTTTTCCTCTTGACATTATCTTAACAAATATAATCTGTCACAACACTTACAATTACTAAAAACTAAATTTAAATACTACGCCCGATACATTCACGGTCTTTTCGCGGTAAACACTCCAAGCGAACTAAGCCATCGGCAACCTGTTAAAACGTGTTGACCGCGGTTATTTTTTTTTTCCATAGTGTCACATGACGACAATTCAATCGAAGTATATTGCATAAACAAGCTAGAATCGCTTAGTCGGTTTTACATGCTAACGATCCGAGATAAATGGAATATTTTAGTACAAGTATTTACAATTAAAGTTATATAGACGGTTTTTGCAGTAATGTTTTAATGGCATGATAAACAAGTATATTCTATTATATACGTTTATGTATTTCTAGTACTTTTTTACTGATTGTTCGTGAGAACATTTTGCGTAACCTATCAAAAAGAGAAAGGATTTAAGAACACTTAAAACTTTTTTCGGGATAACATTAAATGGAAATTTATTAGTAAAGAACTTTATGTTATTTTAGCTATTAAGTATAGGCCATTTTGCTTGATTTAACTGGTTTTACCATGAAATAAATTATAAACGGCTTAACGTATCACTTAGCCGGTTTTACCAGCATATACAGCTCAAAAAACTTAGTACCTTCATGTATTTAACAAATTTTTTGAAAAATTGTCATTTAGCAGGTTTTTGCAGTAAACCCTCGATTTATACATTTTATACCGTGTTTTATTATTACCATAATGAGTTTTTTGTATATAGTGGGATATGAAAGTTTGTATTCAGATAATATCTTTCAGTTTTTCATTTATTTTTTCTGCGCCGGTGATTTTTTCTAAGTATTTTGTTTATTTATTTGTTTCAGTGTGACAAAATGCGACATAATCGATGCTCAAAAATAATTTCGATGGTACGATCAACCAGTTCTTCCCAGGAGTCAAACCTGAACACTAATTATTATGAGCTGCCTTTATCTACTACGAACGAAAATAACTCTTTGAATAATGCGGATCTTCATAACAGCTCAGACAGCATCCTGGATTTTGATTCAGATGATTCAGTTTTTGATAAAAATTATTTACCCTCAAGTTTAGATCAGTCAAAATGTTCACAAGATTCAGATTCTTCTACAAATACCATCCCCCAATCACCGTCAATTAACGTCACTGTTCCTGAGTCACCTGAAGTCTCAAGCGACGAAGATACGCCACAAAATTTCACAAAAAAGGGGACTATCAGAAAACGTAAGAAGTATTATGAATCACCGGCGCAGAGAAAACAAACTAAAAAACTGAAAGATATGGAATCTAAATATAAACTTAAGCCAGGGTGTAATGATGGATGTAAAAAAAAATGTCATACCCGGTTTACAGAAGAAGCACGACAAAACCTAAACCATCAGTTTAGAAACATGTCTTGGAAAGAGCAACAGTATTTCATAATAAATAACACATCCAAAGAAGATCCTAAGAGAAAAACCGTTAAAGAAAACAGAAAACTGCCAAGAAACGTAAGCATATTATATTTTCTGACAAATGAAACAGGGGTAAAAGTGAATGTTTGCAAAGTATTTTTTCTAGAAACACTGGGTTACAGTCGAAAAAATGATAAATCTGTAAGAAACGCCTTATGCACCATAACAAACAACATTCCAGTTGATAAGCGAGGAACCAATCCTAATCCAAAAAAGTTGGACGACACTAAAATTGTAGAACATATAAATTCTTTTAATCCTTCAATTTCGCACTAGAGACGAGCGCACGATCCAAATAGAAAATATCTTCCGTCTGACCTAACAGTGACCAGAATGTATCGAGACTTTTACGAACAACAAAACATGAAAGACCTTCCTGTTCACGAACAGATTTCTTATGACTACTACAGAAAAGTTGTGAAGAAGTTAAATATATGTTTTACAAAACTTGGACATGAAGAGTGTTAGGCGTGTGAAAAGTTTTTTATCGACAATCCGGAATACAAGGAGAAAAGACACAGAAATTGTCAAGAATGCCGAGATTACGAACGACACAGGGAAAAATATACATCAGCCAGGAAAGCATACAAAAAAGATGTAGAAAAACAAAATAACGCAAACATCACCTCAGATACTGCCTATTTTGCAGCTGATTTAGAGAAAGTAATTATGCTCCCACGCATTGAAGAATTTAAAATTGTAATGTTTTGCCCAAGAGTAATCGTATTCAATGAAAGTTTTGTGCCAATAGGTGACAAAAAAAAACAATGCTACTTTGCAAACCTATGCCGCGATATGGCATGAAGCAATTGCTGGTCGCAAAATGAGTGACATAATAAGCTGTTTCAGAGCTTTTTTGCAGGCAAATAGAGAGCTGAAAAATGTAGTCATCTGGTTAGATAACTGTGCAGCCCAGAATAAAAATTGGAGTTTGTATTCTTATTTGCTCCATCTTGTTAATTCACTCGAAGTCAATTATGAAACGATTACATTAAAATATTTAGAGGTAGGCCACACGCACATGGCAGCAGACGAATTCCATCATCAAGTGGAGCAATCTATGAAGAGGAAGAAACACATCTATGATTTCGAAGACTTTCATCAAGCAGTATCAAACACCAGAACAAATATTATCGTTAAAGTAATGAATATGGATAATTTTTGTGAGTTTGAAGACTGTTCTTCAATTTACAAACTACAAAATTCTTCCCCTCGTGCTTATTTATGTGATATGTGTGAAGTAACATTCCTTAGAGGCACCCACATCATTTATTATAAGACTGCTTTCCACAATGAAGAAGAATACTCACTTGACTTTCTGAGATTAAAAAATATAAAATCTGGAATACCACCTCCAAAACCAAAAAATCAGGCATTACTCAAGAACGCAAGACAGTGATCATACAAAAACTGACACCCTTAATGCCAGATAACAGAAAATTGTTTTGGTATAATCTACCTACTAATAAAAATAGTGTTGATCTGACTCAAGTTGATGAAGACTAAATTTACAAGAGTTATAAAGCTGTGATTATTGCTAATATTAAGTATAATTTGTTCAAACTTAGATAGCTTTTTAATATTTGTTTTTAGAAGAGTTACTTAGAGTAGCTATTATAAGTTCAGAGAGGTTTGTTATTGCTATTATTGTTTTTTTTTATTTTATGAAAAACACATAAGTCGTAGTGTTAGTTTGATCTCACTCAAGTATAAGATTAAGACTTCAATATAAGAGATTCCTTAAAAAGCTGTGATTATTATTATTAATTATAAATACAAACTTAGATTGTTTTGATACTTAATTTGTGTTTCTAATAGAAGGGTTTAACGCGAGTTTAGAGTTTAACTTTATTTTATGAGAGGTTTGTAATTGCTATTTTTATATTCTTTAAAAAAGAAATATAAGCCTGATTCTCATACTTTGTGTTTTATTTAATACATGATAATTATCATGTTAAAACGTACTTATTATTATTTTTTAGTTAATTGAATATTAGTATTACTAAGTTGAAAAGCATCAAATGGCTATTAACGTCTTTTTTATTTAGTTAACTAGAACCTGGTAACACATTATCACTAAGTAGGAAAGACGTTTAAAAAATACTAAGTTGAAAGGACGTTTCTAGCCAGAAGCGTCTTTTCATTGCCGTATCAAGTATTTTCTTGCATTTTTTTTACTAAAAAGAAAAAGAAAAAGTTATTTATTTAGTATATAAAATTTATTTAATTAAAATTTACATATAATTGCTGATAGATCGAACACTGATACAAACTTTCACACCACAAAATTATTATTTGGTTTATTTCCTTTCACACAGCGCATTTTTTTGTTTTTTAAATACATTTTATTTTTTTTTCTCAGTTTCGTACTTTATGTAGAAACGTCCTTTTTCCTTATGGCGGCAGTATAGCCGCAGTGTGGCTCTACCACGTAAATACTATTTGCCTAATACTTATTAAAAGGCGAGGATTAACATCTGGTTCCCGGTATACCGTATAGACGATTAATGTTCTTTTATAAAATTAAAGTGTTCGACGAACTTACAGTCTACCTGACGTTAGGTGGCTCCTACAGTCCATATATACCCGCAGTAAACTTTAAATAAAGGAGAATAGAGACGCGTTTTCACCTCTGAGGACTAAGATGTAATGGCTCACAGCTCGCACTGCTACTTGGCAGCATAAATAATACATGATAGGGTGGTGTCTATATAGACGAACTCTTAGACGGGAAAGTGATCCTACCACCTAGTAAATTACTGTACTATGCAGGATTGTCATACCACATGTCGTATGTTAAATAGAGCCATTTCGAGAAAATATTTCCATATACTTCTCCTTTAGAAAATCTAATAGATAAAACAAATTTTTGATCGTTCGTATTTTATGCGCTGCCATACCGTTCGTCATACTGCGGTAAAACTTTGTCAACATATTGCTTGCATTTCCGCGAAGGTTATGGGCATAGTTAGACCCGGTAGGTGGCGCTGCTGTAGAATCTAGATATCAACCGTCGAAGCCGGGGCAGATTGCTAGTATAATATATTATTTATTTATTTATTTATGCTTTCATGTACAAAAAGTACATATGGCGGACTTAATGCCATAGGGCATTCTCTCCCCCCAGTCAACCATTAGGCTAAACAGAGATAGACATTATGGAGGCGGTGCAGCAATAATCAAATAGAGAGGATAAAAAAGTAATATATATATATATATATATATATATATATATATATATATATATAATATGTAACGTAATTAACGCACACCCTCAGACACCCCAATTAGTATATTATGTTATAATCATAATACATACACTAAATCTTTAGTTAAACATTATTTTGCAGTGATTATTTGTCAAATTAGTTATATATACATACACAATGGGTGCGTTTGGCAGAAAAAAGCGCTAGCAAGCGCTTATAAGCGCTAAAATAGTTTTCGGCCAGGACACAATTGCTACTTCAGTAGCGCTGACACAATCCGCCATTTTGCTTATTTAATTTGTTTGTTTTGAAGTAGAGTTTATAAGTTGTTTTGTGCAATATTAGTTTTAAGTAATATAATGACATGAATAAACATATACATGCTATTAAAAACTCATGATTGGTAAGTTTTTAATATGAATACTTTACAAACATATATTTAAATTAGGTTAGATTCCCCGGTTAAAACTAACATCGTGTCCTGGAGGAAAATAGCTACTTACGATTTGACAGCGCTTACCGCTTACGATCGCCATTTTGCTTACAAGCGCTTGCTAGCGCTTTTTTCTGCCGAATGCACCCAATAGGTTCGTATAAATATTATCTATGTCAGAACAACTATAAAATATATACGAAAAAAAAAGAGCTGAGTTAATTCAAACTTAATGATTTAATCATATACTTTTTGACTTGCTTTTTAAAGACGATTTTGTTGTGAGTTTTTTTTAATGTCAAGAGGGATGTCGCTCCAGAGTCTGATGGCCATGAGGGCGAAAGAGTGGGATAAATAACCAGTACGGTGTAAAGGAGTGAGCAACTTAAGATTGGCCGAGGAACGAAGAGAAAAATTATGAGAATCTCTCAGGTATTGAAATTTAGATTTCAGATACTCGGGAGCACATGGATCGTTCAAAGTTGAGAAAAGGGTGCAGAGTATTCTAACATATTTTCACTGACGGATAGGCAGCCAGTTTAGCTGTGTACGAAAGAAAGATACATGGTCGTATTTACGAAGACCATAATGTATGTATCTGATGCAGTTGTTAAGCAGACGATATGATGAAGTTGAGACAGGTCTGAGCAACACACATCGATATAATCAATAATACTTACTTACTTATCTTCACACACAAACCCTAACAGGGTAGCCAGAGAGAACAGATCGCCAAGTGTCACGATCCTTACATACCTCTTTCGCTTCTTTCAGGTTTATTATCTTCTTCATATGTGCACGTCTAGGTATCCGAGTACTCTTGACCTTCCCCTTTTCGAGCAATTTGCTCACATGGTCTTCGAAAGTTAGTCTTGGTCTACCTCAACACCTTTTAATATTTAATTTAGCACTATATATTTTCTTTACCATTCGGTCTTCACTCATTCGCTCAACGTGCCCAAACCATCGGAGTACGCCCCTATAAATTTTTGTGATAATGTCATCTTTCAATCCTGCCATATTGCGAATCTCTTCGTTTCGCTTTCGGTCGGCTATGGTAACGCCGCACATTTTACAAAGAGATCGCATCTCCACTGCATTCAACTTGCTTTTATGCTTCTTCTGGCGTACCCAGGTTTCGCTGCCATATAACGAAGTCGGTACCAACACTGTGTTATGTATTGCAAGGCGTGCACTCTTCACTACGCCTTGCCTTTTGACTAACGCATTCAAGGCACCATTGACTTTGTTCCCGGCAGCGACACGCCTGTCCACATCTAAATCACACCTTCCATCCCGGCTAAAAGCACTACCCAAGTATACAATTTCATTTACCTGTTCTAGACATTCCTGATTTACCCATATTTCACATTTCGTTCTCTCTTCGTCCTTTTCAAATACCAGAACCTTAGTTTTATTAGCATTCAAACGGAGACCTTTAATTTCACATTCCTCTTTCATACACGTGACTAATGCCTGCAGTTCTACTTCTGATGGTGCAATAAGCACTGCATCATCAGCATACAGCAGACAATTTACTTTAATGTCACCCAATTTCACACCCAAACAGCTATTTTTCAGCTTCTGTAAACAGCTGTCGAGATACAGTATGAACAGCCAGGAAGACATGACAC